AAATTATCACGTTCTAGATTCGATTGGACTTTATTTTTGAACGGCTGAAACGACATTAATGGACGATTTAAACTTGTTTGAGTGTTATATTTATAAATAAGTGTAAATAAGTTTTTTGTCTTTATTACTACATGTTTAAATTAATATGCATCGCTCTATTTCACAGCAAATACTGATTGATATTGAAAAAAATTACAATTATAAATATTTCGTCGATACATATATGTGTGCGATGAAAGAAATTTACAGTAATTAATAAAGCTAAATAAAAATTAAATTAAATAAAAATATGTATAAAATTATAGTAAATAAAATTATAAAAAGAGAGGGAGAAAAAGATTTATAGATTAATAACTTTATAATCAAATATAATATTTATAGAAGATAAGATATGTGGCAAACATGTGCGCAAAATGTGAATTCTTTTAGGTACACTTATAGCATATAAATTATCTTGAGCATTTGTAATATATTAATGAAAAGTTGGGTTGTCGAATCTAAAATAGTAATGGAAAACGTTCAAGGATATGCTTAAAATATCAACAAATAATAAACGGCTTATTCTATATTTACACGCGATCAAGACACGCGGTAATGAATATCAATGTTGAATCAAGTATGATATCTTGAACTGTAAAATGTCGCGCGTGTGTGACCTCATTTTATAGATTTATTCTATGTTCGAATTATATTCTTTCCGGATTAATATTGTATCACTGCAACACCAATGACTTCGAATTTATCAAAGACATAATATCAGCGATATTTTCAATGGAAAATTTAAAATGCAAATTTAGTGCCCATTGATAAACCTCTTATAATCAATTCTGAAAGAATAATACGATTTTTGACTGCAAACTTCTATTTTCATTTAAATTGAGATAAATGTATTGAGTGCTTTTCTATGCATTGTTATCAGATTAGAAAACAAATGATTGAATAAAAATAAATGAATATATATAAGAAATAAATTATTTACGATCTACGATATCTCTACGATCTAATTCATTCGAGATTTGTAGAGAACGATAGTGCACGCGTATTAAAAATATTGATCTTGAAATATTGATCTTGAGAGGAGAATGCATAAGACCAAAATATAAAAATTGTAAAATAAGAAAATATATTACAAAAAATTTTTATCTCAATTTTTAACGTTAAAGAAGAATTAAGACAAAGAAAATGAAACGATTTTTATCATATATATTGTATATATTTACACATAAATGTTGTAAAACGCGAAATAAATTGTCAATAGAATTTAATGCACGGTGTAAAAACAGTATCATTATCTCTCTTGGTAATGCATATATTAATACAAAAATTACTTTAACGAATATTAATTTATATATAAAATTAATTTATATATAAAATTAATTTATATAAAATTTATATAAAATTTATATAAAATTTATATAAAATTAATTTATATATAAATATCGGTCATTTGCATCTTTTTATCATCATTCAAACAAAAATCGAGAAAAAAATCTGAATGAATATAAATCGAATTGACAAGAGTTTTTATGTAGTTATATAAGAAAGAGTTATAGTCTTCTAAAATTAATTCAGACCAAGACCAAACCTCTAAATCGATACATTACCAGTAGACACTTCTCTCTTTCTCTCTTCCTTTTATTATTAATGAGTTTTAGTATGCAGCAAATCGCAGTTTCGTCACACTAGTCCACGACTGTAATAGTCGGTTTATTAAGACTCACAAAAATAATTCACTGAGAAATCTCTCACAAACAGTTCTCGCGGTGTTTATCTACTTAATGCATCGATGGGACGAATTCGTAAATCGTCCTCGAATCCTGCGAATAGGATGAGAAAGCACTCACAATGATTTATTCGGTCTCTTATATTCGCGTGCTCTTCGTTACGGAATATTCTTGGTTCTTTTAAAGATGATATGCTAAAAAATTTTCTACTCTCGATCAAATTCAACATCTCTCATACTCTAGTAACTAAAGTTTTTAAACACAAGTTGCGAGTTTATCGAAAAGTTCTCATGATGTATATAAAATATGAAAATATTTTATTAAGTTTATATCAGCAAATTTAAAATGTTTTTATCCCCAAGATGTATTTGTTATTAATATCTATTCATGTAGAAAATAAATCAAATAAAGGATCATGTGCAACTGCAATTAAAAATATGTCTTTCTTGTGAATATAGTTGTCTCGCGTACTCAACAAGTACAATTTTTAAATTTTATGATTTTTTTCTTTTAATATAAAATAATGCTATTTTTTGAAAAAAATTCTCACACATATCTAGAATAAAATACGTAAAATTCGTATTAAAAAATTCAGAATTATATACATGTCATATTTTCTTAAAATTCTTAATTATTTTTAATTATTCTTAATTGATAAACTCACAAAAAATTAATAAGATTTTTTATTAAACTCAAGAATATTTTTTAAATATATTACTATAAATTTATTTCATAAATTTACCTCATAATATAAAATGCATTTTAAAATATTATTGATTGAAAAAGAGCTATACCATTAATTATTAACCGATTTTTTTTCAATGGTTTTCTTTTATTATATTTATTTTGTTTTACAAATGTTATACTTATAATATGTTGTAAATGAAATTATTAATGATTATATATCCATTAGTTTTAGCAACAATACATTAATTCCATTTAGGAGTATGCTATTATTATATTTACTTGTTTCTAATGATTATTATACATTATACATCATTGATTTAAATATTATTATTTAAATATTAATTTTCAAAATGAAATGTATATGTGGAACGAGAAATAATTATACTATTCAATCAGAAAAAAAAATAGAAAAAATGTATAGCATTTAACATGGAAAATAAAATTAATATAAATGATTAAAAAAAATAACATTAATCACAACGATTTTAAAATATACAAGATAAGCCATGTGATCTGAATGAGTCATATCCGGTTTATGATTAGCGATAAACAAAATGTTACATAAAAGAGTCAAATGGTTCACGCTATTAAGAATAAACGATTAATAATGCTTAACTTTTTGTGCTATTACTTTTTGCAATTATAATGACTTGCAATTATGAACTCATTTTCAAAATGCAATCGCTTTTCTTAAAACCATATGACATAAGTAACTTTTTTTCATTATTTTGTATAGAAAAATGTTAAATATTATTAAAAAATGATCAATTTAAAAGGAGACTTATATCATTTTATAGTAATACATAAAGTGAAATGTATGATAAGAATATTTATTAATGTGTGTTTGTATGCGTCTGATTATATCTACTTTCATATAATAGATAGAGGTAGCGAATACCAAAAAAATAAAAAATTTACCAAACAGAAGATAGAGAGATACCACATAAAAGAGATAACAGTGGGGATCCCCGCAGGGAAGTGATACCTCATGCTTTAATATGTTGTTTCTCAACTTTTAAAAAGGGAGGATTTGTACGAAAAATTTAATGAGAACACTTGCTTTTGTGCTTTAAATTTTTCGTACAAATCTTCCCTTTTTAAAAGTTGAGAAACAACATATTAAAGCATGAGATGTTGCTTCTCATTAACTGAAATAAATTATATAGACTGAGAGCGTGACATATGTCACGCAAAGCAATCGAGTCGGATTCGAGACATTTAATGTAAAAATTAATCGATTTAAACTTCTACACGTCATTTTGTTTAATTATCAATAGTAAAAGAGCACGATTTTTTTAAATTACAAATCTGATTCACTTTATATATTATTTTTTAATAATTATGTAAGATTAGATTTAAAAAATATCTAATGGGAAGATATCAAAGTTGATATGGATTTCTTAAAATCCACTTCTTAATCTACTTCTCATCAATTAAATACTTTACCTGAGCTGATAATTGAAATTTGTAATAAGTCAAAAATGTCCGAAATACATATAACTAGTATTCAAATTCAGAATTATATATTGTATATATATATATATATATATATATATATATATATATATATACATACTTTTTCACATTTATAACGTATAATAATATTACTTCTGACGTATAGTGAATTTACAAAAAATTAAAAATTAAAGATTCTTGAACATACTCTTCTTTAATCAAATATAATTCTATCTCATATGCATATAATATTACATGCATTTTAAAATATTATTGATTGTAAAAGTAACTCAGTGTTACTGCTACTAATTCTTTTCAGTGAAATTTTATTGATTTATTATGCTATACTTATTATATATATTCACTGCTTTTAGTGATAATGTATTAATTCCATTTAAAAGAGTATGAAATTTTTTTGAAAGGGCAAAGAACAATGTGTCGTGCAACGAAAATGTAATTTTCAGTGGAAGTTAGATTAGAATTTGACTGATTCTAAATCAGTCTTGAGAGAAAGAGAGAGAGAGAGAGGAGGGGGGGAGAGAGAGAGAAAAGAAAGAGACAGCGAAGAACCTGTTTTATTTGCACTTTAGACGACTAGTAAAGAATAAGAGGAAGAGAGAAAGAAAGAAAGAAAAAGAGAGAGAAGTTTCTTGATAAGTATCAAGATATAATAATATATCTATCAGCGCATCTCTTTTCAAACACGCAAATTATCTTCGCTACGAATAATCGCACGAATGTGTTAGTAACATTATACATTAACATTATAAAACAATAGACAAGATACAAAAATATATAATATATAATGCAGTGCGTTGATATGTAAAATAAACTATGCAAAACAAAGCAATGCAATAAAATAATATATATACTAATCTAAGCTAATGTAAAAATTCGAAAAAATAATCGAGAGCGGGAAAGATAGATATAAATATTCTCTAAAAATGTAACTATATTAGAGCTGATTGATCTGCGAACGTTTTCGAGTCGGTTTTATTAAACAGATAAGATAGACATTCTGTCGATATTGCCTCGAAATTTGCCACACGAAGCACAAGAAGGGCATTTTTTTCAAATGCACACATGCGTTGAAAATCAACAATTTCAAGGTTATGAAAAAAAAAGGAGACTCACTTATATGTAGAGAAGATCCAGCCAGCAAGCCCGGACATTCAACACGCTATTTTCTGACGAACTGAAACTCAATCAACAACAGTGTCCTCTCGTTTATTGTTAATCCGAATCAGTGGCAAAATTCGCTACGGCTACGAATAATCGCGACGATGGTAGGAACGAACGAATGCACGTGACAAAATAAAAGTCGCGCAGGCAACGAACAAATCACAACACGACCATTCCACACGACCGCCGCGACCAGACTGAACATGAACTGAACCGAACCACCGCTCTATCCAGCTGCTCCTCTCTCTCTCTCTCTCTGTCTCTGTCTCTCTCTCTTTTTTCTCCTCTACCCCTCCTTGTCGGAGCGCCAACAGAAAACTGCGCGCCGATCTCGGCCTTACTGAGTCCTACGGTGCGCCAAGTGTACCTTTCTGTGATGCCTCCTCACCGTCAAACCGGTGTCCTGACGGGAGGGAGAACCGGAGAAAATCTCACTCTCCTCCGCAGTGGGACGATTTATCGGTTCGCTCTCTGTTGCGGAAGGGATCAGTCGCGGCAACCTGTATATCCGATGTAAAAGATTCGAATTTTACTACCCCGATGAAACAATTATTTATTTAATAATATGTATATATATGTAATGTTAAATAAATAGTTGATTGTTTTATCATCGTAATGTAAATACCTCGACTTTTATTTTAATTTTAAATTAGAATGTCTGAATTAATATTTTAATTTATTAAATGTTTTTCATGTTGGAAATGATGTATCATCGATGTTAAAATAATAATAATTTATATTTCTTTTTTTAGATTGTATGAACATATTTTTTTAAATTGCTAAACAACAAAATTTTATTAAATATCAATCACAAATATTCGAAAGTCGTTAACAAAAATTCTGGTTACATTTTCATGCTCAAAATCAAATAGATAAGTGTAGATATCTTCAAATAGAAAGTATATATATATATATATATATATATATATATATATATATATATATGTATATATATATATATATATATATGTGTGTGTGTGTGTGTGTGTGTGTGTGTGTGTGTGTGTGTGTGTGTGTGTGTGTGTGTGTGTGTGTGTGTGTGTGTGTGTGGTGTGTGGTGTGTGTAATTTATATAATAAGATATTTTTAAGAAAGATCTATATATAAAGTAATAGAAACATTATATAAAAGGAATATTATATATATGGCGTAAAAATGGAAATATTATATAAGTAATGAAAATTCTTTTATATATATATATATATATATATATATATATATATATACATACTTTATTAATTTTTATTAAAAAGTGTTTTTTATATAAAGTATTAATATAAAATTACAATTTTCATTATGATAGATATTTTCTTCATTAATAAATAATGCATAATAATTTCAGCTTGAAATAATTTTACATGTTCTTTCTTTACTTTATTATTCTTTGTTATTTTTTTAATCTTATATTATTGAGAAATTTTCATCATTACAATGTAAAGAAAATTTGTTGCTGAAATTTTCGATTATTTTCTTTCGTTCACGTGATAGTCCGATAGCCATTAATTTTATTACAATTGTAGATTGTTTTTTTATAATATGCGCGTAGATTGTAAAAAAAAGCAATTAAAAGAATATGAAATTTCTCTCACGATTGAGAAAACTACATTCACCGACATATTAATCTATTTTATATTAATCTATTTTCAAGAATTACACATTAATGGAAAATATCCTCGCTAAATTTTCGCTTTATATACAAAATAGTGGCGATCAAAACCCGAATACCAACGCGGAAACGCTCGTAAAGCTTTTAGCGGAAATTAATTTCGAAAATGTTCGTACGCGTATTTCGGTAGTCAAATTCTCGTATAAATTCTATAAAGCCAAATGATTCGACTATAAAGACTAGAAGGGTGAGAGAGAACTTTTAATGTATTAATCTTGACGATCATACATCTGTTCTGCTACTTCTGCTGCATGAAATACTGTAGCATCATGACATGAAAACTTGTGCTCTAGAAACATGAAGGACATCTTTATCGGTGCCTATAGAATATCGCTACCCGTATAAATATGACCTCGCCAAACTCGAAGCAAATTTGCATTCGCAGGTTGAAGCTTAACTTGCCCTTCCGGACTGACGATAAGCCAAAGTTTCAAGGGAAAGCGCCACGCCCTGCCTTCTCTCTCGTGGTCATTTAATATTATCAGTACTCGAATATGCTAAGTCAAGAGCACTCTTGCGGAGTGCTGATATGCATTATATATCATATTATGTATGTATCTTCATAAAATTCATGATAACTTCAGAACATTGTGAGTTATAGCTTATCTGTATTTCTTTACAATTATCTCTCCGCTGATAAAAAAAAAGCCTTTCAAATTTCTGCCTGAAGCAAATTGATTTATCAGTGCAATCGTAAATCGCGGTAACGTCTAGGAAAGAATTCTGCTTGAAGCAAACATAAATATCGACATATTTGAACATTTATTTGAAAAAAATCCATTGCTTCTGATTAATTACACATGCCTAAATAAATGTTTCGCGTCGAGACTGCTTTATTAATAACGCATTTATTTAAATTTCGCCAATACTTGTCGGATATCTGAGAAATCACGCAATCTTGTCTATTTATCTTCTATAACGCATTGCAGATAAATTAACCTTTATATGTATACCGTGTCATTTTTATCGGTGCGGTATTTATTTTATCGAGCTGGAATCAATGAAGTGTCAAGAACGCACGTTTATCGCTGTTGTTTTTCCTTGCTCCGAGGAATTATAGTAAATCTAGCAAATTATTTTCACAGTTCATACTATAAGTATACAGCGTACATATGAATATTGGTCGATGCTTATATAATAATTCTCAGATGCCAAATTTATTAGTGTTGCATGGCTATTTTGATCTCTTTATTTACCGCACACGTCTGCATATATATATATATATATATATATATATATATATATACGTGTAATATATATACATGTAAATAAATATACAGATGCGAATCAGTATTAATGTCTATTAATAATTATATTAATAATTATATAATAATTATTATATGTATAATTATTTAATAATTATGTAATAATTATATAATTATTTAAAATATATATTATATATTATATATATTTATATTATATAATTATATAATTATGAAAAAATATAATTATATAATTATGAGAAAAAGCAATATAAATGTGATGCAATATATTATACATATATTGGGCTTGTTATGTTGAAACAGATTATTTAAAATTAATTAGAAAGACTTAATTTAATTCGATCTTTTTCGATTATCAAGAAAATGTGGTTAATGTAGATTTGTAATTGATGCATTTTTTAAATATATATGTTTGTATGTATTCTTTTTGTTTCAAATCATGCATAAACCTCGTACAAACGTCGTGCTTTCAAGAACGATTAGGTCATCATCATCACCCTCGCGGCACTTTTATTTGCACAAACCGAGTCACTATATATCCCGGATGCGATCATTATCGTTAAGAATAACTAAATCTTATATCTCTCTTCCACTTACTCCTCCTTTCACCTTCCTTTTCTGAAGAGATAAAATGATTACGCATGCCTTGCCATGGCCCACGCGACACCCATTACAACTAATCAGTTCTTCAAATTGTCGCTCTAAACGACACGCATTATTCTTCAATCTCGTCCTGGAATGTATCAGTCGCGCACACGCAATAAGGTTATTATTTAGTCATACTTTTTCACCAGATAAAAAGAATCAGCAACACAGTGCGTACGAACGAGAGATTCGTCTTAAGAAATAGATTGATAGAAATTTCTTTTGTAAAATTATAAATTTACAATTTTTGAGAAAAGTAATATCTTTTAAATTTCATAAATTAATTTAAATTGTATTTTGGATTAATTGAAAATGAATTACATTATTTATTTTAACTTTGCTGTTATATATTTTTAAGTAAATGTTAGAGATCCAGAATTTTATGTATTCTATAGTTTGAATTAAATAATAATGATATCCATATTTTAAAGAGATAAAAAAGTATAGCTAAAATAAACTTATATTGTAAGTTAATTGATAAAAATAATGTCTCACAAATATTCACTTCTAACTGAAGCAAACGTTTTTAAAATTTCTTTTCTCCTAGAAGTGCATTATTATTTCTTATATCTATATTTTGATTCAATTCGTTTCTTCAGATATGATTAAAATATGTTAAAGCATATAAGAGCGTCCCTATATAAAAAAATATAATTTAAAGAATAAAGGATATATATTCCTTAAATATTAGGTTATATTTTAAATCGGAGATGAAACAATAAAATAGTTATAATTTAAAATACTCGCATAATTTATCATATTAATCAATCTTATTGTCATAAATATTTGTATAGCTTTTATTTTATTCTATTTCTGAAATGCATATTGTCTATATATTCAATAAGAAATTTCGCCAAATAGATATTTTGCTTTTATATCTAAATCTAATCTTTTGATAGTTTTCTGTTTATCTCCTGTGCCAGCAGGTAACGGCTCATAGAAAAAACCCTCAATTTCATGGTCATTCATGAACCTCGCACATACTTCTTCCTTTAAATTGAAACCACTGTCAATCTCTTTCTTGCCTAAGTTATAAATTATTTTATAATTCTCTTAAAATAATTAATTTCTTTTATAACCTCATATAATTATTTTATATAATCTTATATAATTATTTATTTTATATAATTATTTGTAAGATATTTAGAATATCAGAAGTAAAATACTGAGAGTTCAATTTCCTCAGATATAATTATTACTGAGAGAAAAAGAGAGATTTCTAATTTTTTATATATAAGAGTATATTCAACTAAATACATATATATCTTTGATATAATATCAAAGATATATATATTTAATATATTCCCGTGATGTCACCAAGGTCAACGATCCCTTGCGAAATCGTTTCTCTCTCTGTCATAATCATTCAAGTCTCGTGTAGATCATATCCTTGGAAATGAAGAAATGTACTTTATATCTCTATAACGAAGGAGGTGCGGCATATCTGTCCTTCTATTCTATTAGCATTTCTGTCTGGGAAAACAATCGATCTGCGTTTCCAGTCACGAGATGTTAGTGCTTCACAAAAAAAACATATGCATCTTGTTGTTGAGCCGGATGTTGATATAAGCTTAGAAGAATAAGTAGATAAATTTTGCAGTAGATAGATTTTGAGAGTAGGCGGATCTTTTTTAGATTAATTAAATTTATCGTCAAGATACACGTACGTTGCTTTATATATTTGGACTACATTTCTAAAGTTAATTTTCATAGCAAAAATATCTTTATAGAACTTTAATGAAAAAATGAAGAGTTACTGTGGAGGAAATTTTGTAGCATTAGT